CACTGTTTTTTTTTGTTTTTTGTTGTTGTTTTTTTTTTAAAAAAACCTTGGCTGAATGAAAGAGGCTCCATCTCACTCAAGAAAATTTGTTCAGTAAATCAGAAAAAAAACAAAGAAACTTTTTGAGGAGGGGTTATTAGTGCCTACGCTTTTCAAGATATAATATGTAATATTATAAGTGGACATACTTATTTTCAGCTATCCTGACAGACCATAGTCAAGTCTAAAGAACCATTTATAGCCATACACACACACACACACACACACACACACACACACACACACACACACACACACACACACACACAGTTTCAGTATCCCTTATCTGAAATGCTTAAGACCAGAAGTGTTTCAGATTTCAGATTTTTTGGATTTTGGAATGTTTGCATTACATTTGCCATTCCCCAACTCTCCAGATTTGCAACCCAAGAGTCATCATTGTATACTGTTTTCTCGTTTGTCTTCTTCTTCTATAAAGCTTTGGGATTCTGACTGGACTATAAGTATTTAAAGACACTCTTTAATTAAGAGTCCTTTAAAAACTCTAGAGTCTAAATGCAATAAATTGAATTTCTCAGAAGGCCATGCTAAGTACACATTTCATGTCAATAACAGTCATTAAATCTACATTTAAAAATTTGATGAAAAGAGCTAGTCTATTATTTTTCTTTTATAATTTGTTTTCTCTCTTTTGGCTACTTAGGCTTGAAACCACATCCTATAGCTTTGACCTGTTGTGTTGCTGTTTGCTGATGTATCTGTTTTGGTTTCTAGTCTTCTCTCTGGTCCCATACTTTATTTAGCTCAGAGCCATCACTGCCTGCTAAAATAGGGCCAGTAATTCTAAGTTCATCCCCTTCAGTCACTGTCAATGACAGTGCCATTCCCCAACTCTCCAGATTTGCAACCCAAGAGTCATCATTGTATACTGTTTTCTCGTTTGTCTTCTTCTTCCATCGTCAAATCTTCCTTCAGGGTCTTATTTTCTTTTTGTCTGCAGTAGTCTGATTGAATCCTTCTTCTCTTACACAGATGTTCATTTGACCTGTCATAATTACTAAAGCAGCTTCCTGGTTGGCCTCCCAGATTCCAGTTGCTCCCCAACTAGTCTACACTCATTGTCAGAATACGCTTCCACAGATACCAATTTTTTCCATAGGACCCTTTACATAAAAATCAATAATAGCACCAAATGTGAATTCTTTGACCTTTCTGTAAAGCCCTATGAAGTTTCTATGAAGTAAATGCAGCAATTATTTACTACCCTATTTACTTCAACAGCCCATTCCCCTTCCTTCTACCCTCCTTCCTCCCTTCCTTCCTTCCCTTATTCTCCCTTGCCTTCTCCTTTTTCTCTCTTCATATGCAATTACCAGCCCTATTTCTTTTGTTTCCACATTTGAAGTTTCTATTCAAGCCACACCTTTCTTGCTGTTCCAGGATGTGACTTACTATTTCCAAAGCTCTGGTTTTTCACAAATACCACTCCCTTCAGTGGAGATACTCTCTGCTCACATCACTGTTTCTGTTCTGCAGCATCTACTTCTAAAAATGTGACTTACCAGTTCTTTTAGGAAGCTTTCCACGATTATATCTGACTGCTCACTCCACACATTCTCCTAAGCACGTGTATTCCATTTGTATTTGCTGTTGTTGTTTTGTGTGTGTTTGTTTTTTTAGACTGTTTACTATATTGATTTTCTATCACCCACAACTTGGGTATAAATGTCCTGAGGGCAAGGGCCCTCTCTTTCTTCTGCTGTAGTATCAGGCTTTCCACCCAAGAGGCATTCAGTGCATGTTAACTGACTCCTGGGTATTATTTTCTAATCACAAACACAGGTGAAATCATCTTTGCTTTTACAGTGGTCAGAGCTTCCACAGAAGTCTGCTTTCAGTCTACCATTTTTACTCAGACACGAAATAAACAGGAGAGAAGCATATAATATTGGCCAAGCACTTAATTCTGTTTTTTTAACTGAAGTTCAATTCAGTACATACACCCAGCAATATAATACGCTAAGTACTTTAGCCCAGTTATTTTCAAACTCCCACATGCATCGGATTCCTCTGAAGGGATTGTCAGACCCAGGCCACTAGCTCCCACCACAGAGTTTCTGACTTAGTAGGTCTAGGATGGGGTCTGAAATTTTGAATTTCTAACGAGTTCCCCAATGATACTGTGGATTCAGGAAGCACACTTTGAGAAGCACTGATCTAGGGGATAAAGAGGTGATCTAAGACCTGTCGTTTTAAGAGATTTACAGTCTCATCAAAGAAACAAGGAAGGCTCAGGGAATATTTAATAGCAGTAAATATTGTACATTGTTTTAGTATTCATTTATTCAACAAATATTGAATGAGTACTATGTGCCTGGCATTATTCTAGGTGCTAGAGTTACATCAGTGAATATAATAGACAAAAATCTTTGCTTTCATGGTGAAATTCTAGTGGGGAGAAAGCAGACAATAAACAAAATAAATAAAATATATAAAATGTAAAATAGTGATAAGTGTTAAGGAGAAAAAGAAAAAAGGAGGGATAATAAATATTGGGAGGGGTTGGTATTTTAGATAGGGTCATCAGAGAAAGTCTCCCAATTCCAGCATTTGATAAGTATTTGTTGAGTAACTATCGTGTATCAGGCACCATTACAGATGATGGCTCTTGGGAACCAGGAAATCTGGGGTTTTAGTGTTAATTCTCACAAACTCATTAATTGACTATGAATGACTGCTATGACTATAAATGGGAAGGTAATTTCAGAAGAAGAATAACATGAGCACAGAAGCAAGAATGGGAGTTGCATGTTCAATGGAGAGCAAGGAAATCAAATGGTTCCCATTGTAGAGGAGCTGAGATCACTGATGAGGTAGGTTTTCAATAAAGATGAGGTGAGGGCTGATTGTAGAGAGTCTTGGGAGGGAACCCACTGAGGATTTTGATCAGGGAATGATACAATTATACAGTTGAAATGGTATGTTAAGAAGATTAACCTAGCAAACAGAGTTGAATCTTCAAGATTCATCATCTTTTCTGCCAGATAATCATTAAATCATGAAAAGTTAAAGTCATACTTTGTTATATAAGTCACTGCCTAATTCTAATATTACTACCAAACTATGTTTAGGTCTTTTTCAAGCCCCAAAAGCCAATGATATTACATATTTTTTTCTAATAGTGCTACTACATGCTTGAATCAGTAACTTGTTACTATTAACTTATTTATTTTTCTTTTGAATCCAAAGGGTGCACGTGCAGGCGTGTTACATGGATATATTGTGTGATGGTGGGGCTTGGGCTTCCATGGAGCCCATGACCCAAATAGTGAACGTGGTACTCAATGGGTAGTTTTTTAATCCTTACCTCCTCCCTCCCTGCCCCCTTTAAAAGTCCCCAGATGTGTTACTATTTAGATTTAGGTTTTTGAAAGCTTGGAAGATGAATCAGAATAAAAAATTATTAATACGGGCCAGGTGCTGTGGCTCACACCTGTAATCATAGGACTTTGGGATGCTAAGATGGGAGGATGACTTGAGGCCAGGAGTTTGAGACCAACCTGGGCAACATGGCTAGACCCTGTCTCTACAATACAATACAATACAATACAATACAATACAATACAATACAATACAATACAATACGATAAATAGCCAGACACGGTGGTGCACTCCTGTAGTCCCAGCTACTCAGGAGGCTGAGGCAGAAGGATCATGTGAGCCAGGAGGCCAAGGCTGCAGTGAGCATGCCACTGCACTCTATCCTGGGTAAGAAAGTGAGACCTCGACAAAAGGAAGGAAGGAAGGAAATTCTTAAATACGTATACTTTTGTGTATTCCTTGTTATCTTATGAAATATATAGTTGAATATTGAGTTTATCTTCAGCCACATACATAATTTGAATAATACTCTTTTAGAGTGGTGCAAACATCTTTAAGACAAGGCTCTTCCCATCTGCTTGTTTGCTCCTAGGTAACACAAGGTAATAGTCTTGGAAATTATCTTCTTGTTTTTTAATCAGTTGAGTAATATCCTCATCTGTTTAGTGTTTGTTGCTCTTAAGACTGAAAGTAGAATCTTCCTAAAAGCAGTTGCTTTGGAAGACAGCAATGGTCAAAGGGTTTTCTGTCTAAAGACTGGATCATATAGACCTGGAGACAGGTGTGTCAGGCAAAAATGAAGGGAAGCATCTTGGATAATTCCAATCATAGCATGTTTTACCTTACCTTTCAGATGAAGTCATAACTTCTCAGAGACCTAATGGTGAATTTAACATATTATGACAGACCAAATCCTCAAAACTCATTGTTTAAGTGTAGTTTAAATATAAGTTAAATAAGACCTGCAAAATGCTTAACTGTCATGTACAGAAAAATAAGTAAAAGTGATCATGATGGCTATATTACGGTGGAGAGTGATTATTTTCCCTTTTATTTTCCAAATTCTGGATAATGTTGCTAGATGGTCTGTTTAGAAAGTGATAACTTTCTTCAGAGTTGTTTTGAAAAATAAGGCACACCCACAGAAATTTTTCAGGACTTTTTTGTTGTTGTTTTTTTGAGTCAGGGTGTTGCTCTGTCACCCAGGCTAGAGTGCAGTGACATGATCATGGCTCACCACAGCCTCGACCTCGTGGGCTCAAGCAATCCTTCTGCCTCAGCTTCCTGAAGTAGCTGGGACTACAGGAATGCACCACTATGCCCAGCTAATTTTTTAATTTTTATTTTTTTATAGAGATGAAGTCTCACTGTATTGTCCAGGCTGCTCTCGAACTCCTGAGCTCAAGCATTCCTCCTGCCTCAGCCTCCTAAAGTGCTGGGATTACAGACATGAGCTACTGTGCTTGGCATTAGAGCCATTTTTTGAGGGACGGCCACAAGAGCTAAAATGTCTTGAGATCTTTGGGATCATAGTACCAAAAATGCTTCTGGGTTACAAGGGTGATAGTTTTCCCTTCTATGTATGTATGATTCTTTCTTTATTTCTTTTTAATAAACAGGGGATGGAGAATTGTCGTGGGAACATTCTGATGGTGATATCTTCCGGCAACCTGCCAACAGAGAAGCAGTAAGTGTGAATAGCTCAAATAATTCAACACTCCACAACATCAGGCCAAGCTTTCTTCTCCCCATGGCTACTATCCCAGCAAACCCAAAAAAGGGCCTATTTCTAACATCATTTTTCCTCTCCTTTCTCAGAAGTGTGAATTATATCATCACCGACCTGTAACCATTTAAGTGTACCATATAATTGGTAACTGGGGCCAGGACATGTACACAAAGAAACCATAGCCCAAGCCCTTTATCCAGATCAGAAATTGATACCCCTTCAGGATGACTTGCCAAGTCTTTATGGCCTCTGTAAGGAAGGCAGATCACTACCTTGTACTCAAAAGTGAGAACCTTCTGTGGTTGTAAGGTAGCCTGCCCCATCCTTTTAGTGGGATTTGGTGGGTACTCTGGACATGTCCACATAACCCCCCCAACCTTTAGGCTCTCAGTCATACAGTTGGAAGAGAGTAAAGGTAGCAATATGGATTGTCCTCCTTTACCCTGCAGCATCTCAGTTTTGTTCTTGACACTGATCTCAGAATAAGCCTCACAAGTAGGCATCTCTCTATGTATAGTAATAACATTTTTTGTTCCTTTGTATTTTGAAGTAATCAACACAACAGAATCCTTCTCTTAAAAATATATGAGGGGGACCCCCAAAAAACCAGAATTATCTTTTGGAGAGTGGGATCCTTGTAGTACAGGCTTCCCCTACTAGGTAAGTGTTCTAGGAACCCATTGGCATCAGTGTACCAGCTAGCATTGTTTTGAGAGGCTGCATTTGGCTTCAGTGAAATTTTTTTGGAGATTCTTTCAGTGTGTTTGCCCATTTCGTGATGGGTGATTTAGAAGCACACCTGCCCACACCACACTGAGTGCTCAGCAATTTTCGACCAAAAATGGCATTATCCCCATACTCCACCCTCCCTATTCACCCAATCTCACCCTGAGCAACTTTTTTTTCCCCCAAATGAAAAAAGTCCTCAAAGGGAAACGTTTTGCTCATATGGAAGAGGTGAAGCAAAAAAAGAAAAAAGAAAGAAAAAAAAAATGACAGAAGCACTAACAAGCATTAAAATGGATGAGTTCAAAAACTGTTTTGAGCAGTGGAAAAAGCATCTCGATAGGTGTATTGTGTCAAACGAAGAGTACTTTGAAGGTGACTGAAGTTTAACCATGTAAGAATGAATACAAGTTTTTTAATAAATAAATTCCAGTTTTTTGGGGGGTCCTCCTTTGTATGTCTAAGAGTTATACTTTAAACTTCTTAAAATCTGAAAAAGATATTCCAATTCAAAAAATCTATCATATTAAAGAACTCATAAAAGTTTTTTGTTTGTTTGTTTGTTTTTTGAGTTGGAGTCTCACTCTGTCATCCAGACTGGAATGCAGTGGCCGCTTCTGGCCACTGCAGCCTCAACCTGCTGGGCTCCGGCAATCCTTCTACCTCAACCTTCTGAGTAGCTGGAATTACAGGCACGCACTACCACACCTGGTTGATTTTTTAAAAATTTATTTATTGTAGCGATGAGGTCTTGCCAAGTTGTCCAGGCAGGTCTCGAACCCACAGGCTCGGGCAATCCACTCACCTCAGTCTACCAAAGCGCGGGATTACAGGCTGAGCCACTGAGCCCGGCTAAAAGTTTCTAAAATGTGATCATTACACATAAATACATGTTCATTACACCCTTGTTTTTAAAAAAGTATACAGGGACATTCATCACAGCATTGTTTTCTTAAGAGCAAAACAAATGAGATAACCTAAATGTCTATTGATAGGGGCTTAGTTAAATATGCTCAATCCATGGGATACTGTATAGTTGTTAAAAAGAATATAGTACCTCTAAAAGTAGTAAAGTGGAGAGAACTCTAAGATAATATATTAAGTAACAAATCAAAGTGCTGAATGAAATTTTACACTCTCATTTCCTTATGTAAAAATTGTGTGTGCATGTAAGTAAAAGCATACAAAAAGATCTGGAAAGTCACATACCAACATGTTAAAGTGGTTATCTTAGAAGGGTGGAAGGGAGCAGGACTTTGACTTTTTACTTTATATCTTCTATTTTTCTTGATATTACTGCATAAGCCTCAATTCGTTTTGTAATAAATAAAATGTAAATTATTTTCTACAAACTTAGGAATTAGTTCTCATCATGCATTGGGTATAATGTGGGAGTCTAGTGGATTATAGGGCAGCCCTGAGAACATCGAGCATGTGAGGAAGGTGTTGATAGGGGATGCAATAGAATGGCCGATACACATATCACAGTGTTGCTGAGGAGGGGCTTTCTGGTCATCATATGGGCCACTTCTGACTTACGTGCACCTAGCTTGGCAGTGTGCAACCCAAAGCTTCAGCAGTGAGATGGAACAATTGCTGTTTGCTTTGCTGTCTAGCAGTGTTGTTTTCTGGACACTGCTGTTTCTGAATGAACATAGAAGACTTGAATAGGGAGTGGGGAACAGTACTCTGGACATCTCAAAAAAGCAGCATCCTGCAAGAAAGGGCGAGCTTCCCCGTTTTCTGGTTAATATAGACCCTGAGGAAAGAATTTCTCCATGTAGCTCTATATGCTTTATAGTGAGATTCCTTCCAGACCCTGACAGGAGATGAAGTCAGTCTAGTTTTCTGTGTTGTGAGTTTTCTTCTTTCTCAGCCTCGATTTTGTATTGTAGTAGAAAGTTGACAGTGGCTAAATTAGTGGCTGTCAACCAGATGTCATTCTAAACCAAATTTAGGGCTCAACCACCTTAAGCTATGAGGTATTTTCCAAGAGGCCCTCATGCTAAGCACTTGACCACCTCAACAACCTTCCTGGTAATGCCATTAATTAGCCTTTCTTCTTGACTTTGTTTTATGATGCCCCCAACTCCATTCCTTGTCTTTCAGCTTCATTGTTTTTTCCTAAGCTGCTAGTGATAAGGCTGGACTTAATCCAGTACTTCCTGTAGCAAAAGAGGTCAGGTATAGAATGCAGGGCCTTGAAATAGTTATTGATTTTCAAAGGAGTTCAAGACCTATCTTTAGACAAAAACATTTGGGTCTGGTAGACCAAAATGGCCAGGTGGTTCCACTTTATTATAAATAAATATTTTCCTTTGTTCTAAAAGGGATAGATATTGTGGGATATGATTTGAATAATAAATAGCATCTGTAGTAATGGAAAAATATATACCTGGCACATAGTAGGCACCCAATAAGTGTGTATTGAATGAGTGGACGTGGAAGGTGAAGTGAAATGTGTGTGGTGGGGGGGTAGGGAGGGACTTTTTATTAATTTTGATGCACAGGAATTTGTCTCAAATCGGAGAGAAATTCTTTAAATTTGTTGTTTGCTCTTGACCAGCCTATAATGAGAAGACAGGAGAATCCCTTCTGAATATCCTTTGTAGGCCCAACTTCCTTCGTGAGAAGAAACAAAAGGCAGTCCTAACTACATTTCCTATCCAGTAGACTGTTCTTTTCGTAAACTGTTCCTATTTACAGGGAACCATCAAAACTTTAGTTCAGCAGAAACACAGCTGATTGGTTTATTTTGCCAAGTGGTCTGAAAACCATCAGCTTAGCAAGTTTTACGAAGTGCACAGGAAGGGGAACCCGAGGTTCAAATATGACTCCTTTGTAAAAAGCTGAAACAGTTTTGTTTGATTTCCAGGTAATAATTTCACATGAAATAGTCCTCATGTCATTGGTGGGGGGAGCATGGTGTGTGTGTAGGGGAGTGGTTTATGGGAAGGGAGAAGTAGGCAGAGTGGAAAGCCAAAAATGCAAGCTCACATAATTTTGTTTTGGAAAACAGCCAAACTCTGATTTTTGTGCCCAGTAGATTATATTGAAGTTTAGAAAAGTGAAAGAGCTAGGGATAGAAACAACTTATGACAGATAAAAAACCATGTCTCATTTACATTGTCAGAACAACAGTTTGGGAAGGAAACTGGCCTAAGTGTCTTCCATCCAGGGATAGTCCTAGGTTAGTAGTGACAAAAATACAGTGTTTTAATGGCTGTGTGATTAGAATACATTCTGAAGACACTTTTTATATTAAACTTTTTAGTTTGAAATAACTGTAGATTCACCCACAATCATAGGAGATAATACTGAGCAATCCTGTGTGCTCTTTGCCCAGTTTCCCCCAATGGTAATATCTTGCAAATAGATAGTACAATATCACAACCACAAAGGCCCTTTTAAGGTCCGTTTTGGATACTGATGTTTTCCTGTCTCCACCGGTGTCTTAAACCTTAGGACAAGTAAGGAAAAAATTACTAGGAGCCTCCACATTGTGGGGATTTTTTCCAGCACCAGAAAAGAACTGCTTTAGAGTCACCTCAAAGCCTGAAATATTTCTCAGTCCTTCAAGTAAGTAAATCAAAAATCCCAGACTTCTGAGCAAAATAAAACAAAGCATAGCTATCTGGTCATTTCTAACATGTTTTGACCTGCTCTCTCAAGCAGCCTATTTGTAGCTGGTTTTTAAGATAAGCTCCGATTTCACTTATAATTCCAGGCCGTCAATAACCTTTTCTCCTTTGCTCTAAGTTACAAGGTCAGAATGACCCATGGTAAACCTCTTTCATTTGTTTAGCGGAGCAACTCTAAAAGAACCACTACCCTTAAATCAAAATCACACACCACCACCCCCTACTCCTAGCACTGAAACAGAAGATCTTTTATGTCAGTGATTCTCAACCCCAGCTTCAAGTTAGAGACTCCTGGGGAATGTATAAAAATCCTGATGCCCAGGCCTCCCCCCAGACCAATTACATAAGAAACCCTGGGAGTGAGACCCAAGCATCAGTAGTTTTTACAGCTCCCCAGGTGATTCCAATGCACAGTCAAGGCAGAGCACATGGCTGTGAATACTGCAACTGAAAGAACTTTTATATTGGAAAGAACTCTTTGGAGCAGCTTTTAACTAAATGTTTGTGTACTACTCATTTTGACTGGACATTCTCTCTTCCACTTTCTCCTCCTTCTCTTCTTCCTTTTCCTCCTTCTGTTTATCTTCACCCTACTCCCACTCTCCTTCCATCTTCAGAAGCACCCCCTTCACTGTCATCCCGAATAGATTGCCTCTCCTCCCTAGCCTGTTTCTCTGTCTGTAAAACAAAAGTCTTCAACAAAATGAGGTTCTAGAGGGGCTTACTGGTCTACTCTAAGTCATCTAATCAAAATCCCTGAGGGTTTTGTTTTTTGTCTTGAATCATTTTCCTGCCCTTATCATATGTCCAGAGTATGAGTTCCTCGTGCTAAAGAACAGCTTTCCATTTTGTGCTCACTATTGTGAGAGGACTTCTTGTACTTGCAGCTTATCCTGGGTCAGCGACCTTCTCTCTCTAATTCTACCCCCGTTGAACTACTTCCTTTTAGCATCAGTGGGACACCCATCAGCCAAATTGTCCTCTCTGTGTTCCTTTGGCAAAACTTTGCCAGACTCCAAAAAGGGCAGAACAGTCTGTAATGGCCTTTGTGGAATGTGAGTGATTATGGTAGAAACAGACGTATGAGCCATTATGGGAATGAGAAATATTTTGCACTGAGAATCCCATTTGGGTGCATAATAACAAATTGATGAAAATTCTTCTTATTTGTGTGAATTTTTGTAGCAGTGTATCAGCATGGGCTCTTCTTAGGTAGCGAGAATAAGGTTCTCTTGTAAAAGGCTAGAAAAGGTCTTCTTACTCTAGCTTCTATTGGCTCGCTCTTTCCCTCACCAGCACTCCCTTCTGCCAAGAGAGCAATAATACTTCCCAAAGCTAACTTTCTAAAATATGTGTATATGACACAAAACTTTAATCAATGTTTTATGAGATGGTGGGGTAAGGGGACTCCAAACTATATTCCTAAGCTTCTTTTATATTTCTATCACTGAATATAAGGATCTTCCTTTTTAATTGCCTGTGAAAAAAATTTTGATGGGCTTCCCCTCCTTTACTCATAACAATTGCCCTTAAACAGAATTAATATTTGGCTTTCAGCCATAAGGTTCCATTCTTCATTCATTCCATCTTCTTCTACTCACAGCTTACTTCAGCTTCTGGGAGAGGTGTGGGTAGCACAATAGTGAGCTCAACATGTGTCTTAAATTATTGCTGAAAGAGCAGTGGTTGGATTATTTGGACTATAAGACTCTAAGCTTTCCTTAGGGACCATAGTTTTGTTTAGTCAACAAATATTTGATGAATACCTTTTAGATGCAAGGCACTATTCTAGGCACTGGACAACAGGGGCTTACATGCTAATACCATTGTGTACTGTCAGTTTTTTAATCTATAAAATGTCTAGGTTGTCTGTGCCACGATGTCTGTCTTATGCCATTGCCTGAGTTTAGATTCAGTACATTTTATCAAAACTATACTTGATGCTGCTGATCTTTTCCTCCTGTCCAATTTACCCTATACATGATCAGGATTCAGTGCTTTGAAGCACAGTTTTGAATACATTATTTTCCTGCTTTAAGAAAACCTCTCAAAGATTTTCATGCCCTCATCTCATTTGCTTACCAAATAAAGTCCTCACCCCTTAGTCTGTCGTTTAAAGTCCTCCATGATCTGGCTTCAACCCACTTTTGGAATGCTATCCTTCTACTGTTCCCTTTTATGGACTCTGTGTTCTCTGCTACACCTTCTCAACTTGGAAATCTCTGCCTGGACTATTCTCCCACAAACTCTGCCTGTAAAAAGTCTGCCCACCCTTCATGGCTCAGGTCACAAAGCCTCCCAAATAGCAGCTCTTTTTTGCTATCTAATATGCAAAACACTTTTTACTTCTCCTGCAACCTCTGTAACATTCTTTCTTGCATTGCAGACTGCTGGCTAAATTCTTAAACCCGAATGTGAGAGTCTTGGGAGCCGCAAGGATACTTAGCGCCTTTTTTATTGTTTTCTTCCCCAGGAGTTTGTCTTTGAATCTAGTCCTGTCTTTTAGAAGAAGAGAGAAATACCTCAGATTGTTGCCAGTGCTGTTTTTACATGACTGAATCCCTATTTCTGTTGGTGTCTGTGGGCATGCAGCTAAGATCAGAGCTCATCACCATAAATCAAAATCATGGAATGGCTTCAAATATATATAAGTGCCATCTCATTGGTGGATTTTTGGACTGAATTTGTTCTTGTCATTTTACAGAGACATTCCTACCACCGCTCTCACTATGATCCTCCACCAAGCCGACAGGCTGGAGGTCTACCCCGCTTTCCTGGGGCCAGAAGTCACCGGGGAGCTCTTATGGATTCCCAGCAAGCATCTGGGACCATTGTGCAAATTGTCATCAATAACAAACACAAGCATGGGCAAGGTAAGAGACATCCTTTTTTTGTACACTTACACATCATGGCTTCAACGACCCTGGTCTTTAGAGGTCTGAAGCTGGGGAAGAACCTTTTCTCCCATGAATATCATATATTCACACGTGGTTCACACACTATCAAGTCTACAACATGAACAAGTGACTCCAAAGGAATCTTAGGACTTCCCTAAATGTATTCAGAAGAGCACAGTCAAGCTCCTTTTGTGTTTGTGGTGCATTTTTTTTCAGTTGCCCCTAGGGTTTGGAGATCCTTTGGGGAAATTCCTTGGGTCTTTAACAGAATGAGAGGCTGTTCCAGCAGGGCACCTGACATTCAAAGGTACTCTGTGCCAAATGCTTCTGAAGCTCTTATTCATACCTTAGAAATAGCAATTCTCATACCTCAGTCCACCCCAAATGAGTTTGGAGTTTAGAGTTCAGTACATCTTATTGAAACTATACTTGATGCTGATCTTTTCCTCCTGTCCAGTTCACCCTATACATGATCAGGAAGCTGATCTTCTGTGACTCTTGTTAAAGATATATATTCCCAGCCCCACCAGAGATTCTGGTTCATTGTGAAGACTGAGATTGTTTTTAGAAATGAGTAATCCTGTGAGAAATCCAGAAACCACCTGGCTGAGCACCAGAAAGACTGATCAGGTTAACACTGTATGCAGCCCACTCAGCCAACCAACTGGACACAGCAGGCACCCACAGTCATCCATGACCCCACATTTCTTCCTGCACGGCATTTTCTGGCCTCCACTACCCCCACCAGTAGCACAGGGGTTGGGGTAGGAGAAATTCATTCAAACAATTGACTGCTTCTTACTTTTTTAGGCAGCCTGTCAACCAGCTCATCAGAGCAAGAACTCAGCTGGTTTCTTTTTATGAAACCACAAACATGTTTTGTTTCCCTTAAAGGGAAAACAAATCAAAGGCAGTTCTCTGAATGGGTTAAAAGTAATAAATTATTAAACCAAATGATTGAATAACATGGGTGAAAAACAATCCGTTAAAAGAACTCCTACTATAAATCTCAACAAAGCTAGTCAAGCCAAAGCTAGTTGATCACATCTGTTACTGGTTAGATGTAAATTTCAGATTACAGATAAAAAAATTAAATTGCTTTTGAAGCTTACAGGCTTAAAGAACATTCAAAATAAAACTCTTAATGAAAAAGGGTGGTATATTAGATGAATTGGAGATATTTACTATCGATCTGTGTTGATTTGATATTTATTATTTTTAAGTTCCAAGTCATTCAGATGCAAGTTTATGAAATGAGGAGGAGGAGTTAGGTAAAGATACAGTTTGATTTTCAATTCTAAATTGCCTCCAATAGATTCCATTTGCTCTGAAAGTATTTCAAAGCCTTTTTTAAAAAGTGCAGGAAAATGGACTTTGAAAATCCCAAATCCCATCATTTCCACAAGGCTTCTTCAGGGCAGAGATTCATCCCTTGATTTTCTCCGTATCCTGCAAAAGCCCCAGCTGGTTTACATTTACTCATTTGCCCCCATTGATTTGGATGCAGCAGTTCTCCTCTGACCTTTCTATTATAGTTCACTGGAGAATCACTTGTCCCCACCCCCAACTCCCAACTCCCCAGCTGGATGATTCAAAATCATCTTGAGAATTTTTTGGTGGGGAGAAGACTGTGTTTCCCTCTAGAGAACTGATCTTACCCTTTTCCACTACAGAGTGTGGGCTCTCGCCCAGTCTGGACTGTTCCCTTTGTCCAAATGCTTAGGGAAGAGGGAACATAGCTATATAACACTGCTTCTCAGGATGGCTTACTGTTCTCCTAGCTCTCTTGCTAATGATGTGTTCCTCTGAGATACATCTACTTGTTTCCTTGTTAAAATCAAAGAGGAGAAGTGACAGGACTCCACCACTTTGAACTTGAATCCAGCCTAAATTTTCTTGAAGCAGACTTGTGTACTCACTTGATCACATTGTCTAGAAGGGAACATCACTGTCTGGGGAGAAGAGAGAAGAGGTTAGGGCAGGAGAGAGAACAGTATATCTGGCCTGTCTCGTGTGATCCTGTCCATGACCTTGAGCCTCACAGTTGAGGTCTCAAATCTCTATTCTATCTCACTGTAAGATTGGGAACCTCTCTGGCTTAGGTTCTTGGAAATCTTTACATGGATTGACCCATTAGAGTGCCCAGTACTCTAGCTGCTCTTGCAAAGGACAGGGGAAGGCAGCCAATATCATCCTTATTTTTTAATGTGACCCAGTGGACTTGATGAGAAAGAAATAGCCCAATGATTCATCCTTCTGAAGCTGTTGTCTTGCAGCCAAATCAGTCAATTCCTAGAAACGTCCCAAGTGGGGCTACTTCTCCCACCCCCCCAGCCCCGCCTGAAGTGATACAACACACCCTAGAGATGTTGTTGATTGGGATGCCAACAGGTCTCCCCGGGTGTGATGAGGTGATGAGAATAATGAGAAACATATCCAGTCCCAGTCATGGCTTGAAATCTCCACAGTGTCTCATTCTCAGACCTCTCCATTGACAGTTATTACCCTGGAGCCTAGCTCCATGCCTTACAGTAGGAGCCGGATATGTTTGGGGTTGATTTATATGGAAGTATATTCCTGTGGCCCCTTCTCTTTATAGGCCCCTCAGCCTGAAGCCCAGATGCCTTTTCTTTCAAGGGCCCTCAGATAACATAGAGTCAGTAACTTCACTTCCCACCCAACAAGTATCAGACTGGCTAAGGATCTCTGTGGAGTAGACAGTGGTTTACTGTAGCCAAATCTCTGGAGCCACTATGAGGTGAGAGACTGAGGAAATTGTCTGAAAATTAGAGGCATAAAAGGCTATCCTTTCTCAAGTTACCCAGGAGGCATTGGTCCATTCCCTTTCAGTCTTGTCTTAGTACATTTCTTCCCACACCAGAGAGTAGGCCAGCACCATAAAGCTCTGTGCACATATATATATTGGTGGATCAAACTCTCATAGCATTTGACATTCTGAATGGATTCGCTTCCAAATCTGGAAGAAACTGGCCCTTTGGGAAGAGCAGTAGTGTTTGCACCTAGCCTCCCTAGAAAGCACATCTCTCTAGGAAATATTCATGCCTGGAAGCATATCTACTTAGGCCACACAGATCTTCTATGGAACAGCAGATATTAACACCACATTCTACCAGAGATTTCTTATCAGATGTCCAGGACAAATAGAATTCTGCTTTCATGCATTCATTCATTCCTCCATGTAAAAAAAAAAATTATGGACTGCCTACTACATGTGTCAGGTCATTCGGGAGCATCCAGAGGCTGCTGCTGAAGAACCTGGAGAGCTGCTGAAAGTTGAACGAGGCCCAGGCTGTATTTTTGTCATAGAAATGCTCTGTAAACATGTCTCCACAGACATGACATGAACAAAGGGTGCTTGATGTGTTAAGGAGTTTAGGGCTTGGGTTCTGAGCGTAGGCACCCATGTTGGCTCTGTAGCTTTTAATTCCAGTTCTGTGTTCTCTTTCAGTGTGTGTTTCCAATGGGAAGACCTATTCCCATGGCGAGTCCTGGCACCCAAATCTCCGGGCATTTGGCATTGTGGAGTGTGTGCTATGTACTTGTAATGTCACCAAGCAAGAGTGTAAGAAAATCCACTGTCCCAATCGATACCCCTGCAAGTATCCTCAAAAAATAGATGGAAAGTGCTGCAAGGTGTGTCCAGGTAAAAAGGCAAAAGGTGCGTTGGTTGGAGGCCCTGCCTTTGGTTGAGTGAGATCTCCACATAGTCCTTCTCAACTTTCCTTAAACATCAGAATTATCATCAACCTGTCATTCTAATGATAGTAGGTCTAGTAATAATGAATTTCATTCTCTCTTCTCTTGAAAGACTGGAAAGATGGTTGCTTGGAAGAAATTTACTACTCTGAAATATACTGGGGATTTGCTTGTGTCTACCACACCTCCCATGTAGTCCTACGTGCTAAACTTATCTGTGCTTTTCTAAATAGTGGAGAATTTAGGTTATCATGATTATTAGGAAGAACAGTAACACTTTTGATTTATATCAAACTCATCAAAACACAATCGCATTCATTACCCTTTTGAGACAGGATGAGAGACAAATGAGTTATACTGGAAGGAGACCAGGTACTGGTCCAAATCTAAGTTGCTGAGTGACCTTGGAAATGTGCCATATCCTCTCTGGACCTCATCAGCCTTATCTGTACAATAAAAGTTTGGAAAAAATATACTTCTAAGCTTTCTCCTAACACTAAAATCCAATAATTATATTATTATTTCTCTTTCAAGGATAAGGAAACTGAAATGTATAGAGTAAAATGACTTACCCAGAGTCATGGAACTAATTGATAATAGTACAAGGTCTAGAACCCAGGTCTCTTCCAGCCGGTTGTCTTTTCTGGATCAGTAGAAAATGTTGACTGATTTAAAAAATGGCAAGTTGATCGTTTAACTTGTTATTTTATTTATTTTTTGAGTCAGGGTCTCACTCTGTCGCCCAGGCTGGAGTGCAGTGGCATGATCATGAGGACCACGGTTCATGGTATCCTTGACCTCTGGGCTTAGGTGATCCTTCCACCTCAGCATTCCAAGCAAGTAGCTGGGACTACAGGAGTGTGCCACCACGCCTGGCTAATTTTTTTTTTTAATTTTTTTTTTTTATAGAGATGAGGTTTCGCTATGTTGCCCAGGCTGAAACTCCTGGGCTCAAGCAGTTCGCCCACCTCAGCCTTCCAAAGTGTTGGGATTATAGGCATGAGCTACCACACCTGGCCTTATTGGTGATTTTAAAACATGAGCTAGATAAAAATATAGTTCATAGTATTGGAGTTGACAGAGATGGGCTAGATAACTAAGCATTCTAGCCCTGGCTTGCCACTGGTTTTCTGTGTGGTCTCAAACTAGTCAGTTCACCTCTCTGAACATCAGTTTCCTTCTTTGCAAAATGAGAGTTAGATGATTCCTTAGGGTTCTTCTAACTCCACATTCTAGGAGTTAGCGAAATTGTTCTCAAGCATATGAATTAATCATTTCTTATGCTTTCTGCAAAGCATTTTTATAAACACAGATGAAAACCAAACATTGTAAAAAGTTGGCAGAGAGCTAAATCTGAACATTGGAAGCCCCCAGAGAGCTTTTGCAAATACCCATGTCTGATCCCCAGGGACAGTGATTTGATTTGAGGTATGACCTGGACTTTGAAATTTTAAAAAGATCACCAGGTAATATTAATGTACAGAAAAGTTTGGGAACCAACACTGTAGGCTCGGGGTGGTTTATGGTCTTGCTACTCAGAGTGTGATTTATGAACCAGCAACACCTGGGAGCTAGATTAAAATGCTGATTCTCAGGCCCCCACCCCAGACCTACTGCATCAGAATCTGCATTTTAACAAGGCCCCCCAGGTGATTCTAATGCACATTAAAGCTTGAGAAGCACTGATTTATGGCACAAACAAAATCTTCCTTAGTGCTACAACCCCCATCTCCCAGAGTAAACAGATGGCAGGGTATGAAGAGGAAGGACAGGAGCTGTCTAATATGTAGAGAACTAGGGCATTATAATTTATGAGGAAATGTATTATGGATAGGAAGAAAGCACATTCTAAGGATGATATGGACATTGGGGCCACTTCCAAGTTTATGATCTCACCGGATTCCCATACCTTTTAGTGTCAGTGCTAGTTCTACCACTACAATTTTCTCTTCTGTCAAGGGTCTAACACCTATAGAAAAAAAGCAATGCAACAAGATAATTTCAGACAAAAACTAATAGTTGCCTGAACAAGTCACTATAAGAGAAACCGTTTCACTGTGTAATATTCCTATTTGAATCTCAGACCTTCAGACCAAATTCTATTTCATGTGTGCTTATGATTTTATTGATGCAGGTGATTCCAATAAAAATGAAAGAATCAAAAAGTTGTGAGAACAGGACATACAACAGCCATTGCCTTTAAAAACAATTGCCCTCTCAGATTGGCAATGTTTATTAGAACACTTGGCTAAACAATTTCACTTCTAGGAATCCTAAGAAAGTAATCAGAGGGATACACAAAGATCTACAAACAAGTTTTGCTGCAGTGCTGTTTACAGTAGTGAAAAATGGGAACAACCTGAAAGTTCACCAGTATGGAAATGGTTATACACATTATAGTATATGCGCATTGTGGAATATTAGTACAGCCATTAAAAATCATTGTAGACCAAGATTTAATGACATGAAAAGATGTTGACAAGATATTTGTTAAGTAAAAAGAGCAAGCTAAAAATCAATATGTATATTATGATCCCACATTTTATGTTAATAAAGAAAGTGTTTATACTGAGACCAAAAAAACAAAAAACAAAAAACAAAAAACTGGAAGGGCATATTGGAACAATGCTAACAGTGACCATACTTGGATAATTATGGGTAATTCTTACTTTCTTCTTTTTTATTTGTATTTCCTAAATTTTTAATAGTAAGCATGTATTACTTTTATAGTTAGAAAAAAGTAATAAAAGTTATCATTTCAAAAACTGCCCTCCAGCATCCCAACTGGCAATATATTGAAGAATCTGACCCACTAAACCAGTTTCTCTTGAAAAACTGCCTTTTCACCTTGCTCAAGTGTGTGGAGATAGATTTATTGGGCAACATGGAAGGAAAGAATTTCTGTCCCCTATATGTCTCTCAGTGGGCCAGACATGGGTATCTGCATGTTGAATGGCTCCTGCTAGTGACATTGTCTAAAAGTCACTATACACATAGCCCAGGGTACCTGCCCCAAGTACTCAGCAACTTCAGAGCATCATAGGGCATGTACTCTTTCATGCATTCAGTCTGGAAATATATATTAAGTGCCCACTGTGTGCAAGACACTGTTATAGATACTGAGAACAGAAAGATGAACAAGACAGACAAAGGCTATTTGCTAGCATGATCCTTACATTCCAGGGGAGAAGAAAGACAGTGAACCCAAATCAGTAAGGTAATTTTAGACTGTGATTAGTACTATGGAGAAAAACCAAACAAGATCAAGAGGTAGTGAATAGGACAGGAAGCACTTTCAAAAGAGTGGTCAGGGAAGGCACCTGCAAAGAGGTGATAATTGGAGTAGAGTCCTGTGTGATGTGATGGGGTGAGAAATGGGATGATTATGAAATCACTGGCCCCTTTAAAAAATGACACATCACACAGAGAAAAGGAACGAGGGGGTGAGGAGGGGAGAAGATGGAAGGAGAAAATAACAGTAAATTCAGTTTTGTTAAGGGAAAAGAGATCAATACAATTCACTGACAATCTAGCCAGAAGTTTCATTGTAACAAATGATTTCAGGCTCCTACAATAACAAATTTGGACCAAAGTAGAAGATGTGAGTTTCACCTCTAGCTCTTTGCTTTCCTCTGGTAGAGTCTGGCTTTGCCTTGCATGTCAGTGGCCATCTATAAGGTTGGGTAGGACGTCCACTCCTGAAGGTTCCCCAACTCACCTGTCATACCTACTATACCACTCCAATATCTGGAATTCCCATAATTACACACTTATCTTGGGTCATGGCACAAAAAACCCCTGTTAAGACTTACAAGCTTTCTGGGCTGGAATAGTACATCTCTTGCATCAGTCATCATCACTTCAATCAGGAATGGTTTCTCAGTTACTCAGTTCTGGAGGGCTCAGGACTGGTGCATTCTCATGGGAAGTGGGAATGACCAGAAGTGACTTCAAGAGTGGCATGCTTTTCCAAAAGAAAATGAGAGTAGGTGAACATGGAGTGATCAGAAAGCATGTTGAGGTGGAGAGTGTGGCAAGTGGAGGACGTTGCCAAATAGGTAGTTCTAAAGGTAAACTTTGCTTTTCTTAATATTTTCAAGTGCCAGCCAGAGTTGAGTCAATAACGAGCTTTGTTGTTTGTAGATCCCTTCAGTTTAGTAACTTAAGCTCTTGGGTGGTAGGAGTGGGGGTGCAGGATGACTCTTCCAGCTACTGGGAGAACTTTTAGCATATTACAGGTAGTACCAGTGCCATCATGTATTTCATATATCAGTTACAGCAGTAGCCAATATTAAACTGGTGAACAAAGTTTAACAAATGAACTTAACTCTCATTCTAAAGGCAGTCATTGAATACATAGCAGTCCTTGCACACTCAGTGACCTCCTCCCCTCCTCCACCCATTTAAAAAGTGCTAGCACACAACCCAAAATTACCTAACATATTGCCAAAAAAGATTGGCCCACCAAAAAGAAATAGCTAAAAAGGACAGAGGGAGAAAGGAAGCTTGATTCTAGGATAATCCACAAATTGAGTAATCCAACCTGGAATCATCAAGAGAAGACTACGGTTTTGTCCTCACAGTACCAAATGGTGATGGAGGTGGAAGCTAATTAGTTTAGCAGGAGAAGCACAATGGCAATTTGATTAAAACTGCTAGACCAAATGTGTCTGATTGGCTAACAGTGAGTCTCCATCATTAGAGTCAGGGATCCAAAGCACTCAACACTCAGTGGTTTCATCCTCAATAATTCAGATATCCTTACAGATGGCTTCTGCACATTTTCAAAGTTTTCAGAGTGTCTAAGGCTTCTCTTTGTTCTAATTTGAGCATACACATTAAATACCCAGCTAAAGAGGGTACTGATTACAGGGCCACCAAAGAAATTTAACTCATTAATAACCAACCAGGAAAAACTTTTTAGAATAGGAGGCTGAGAAAGGGGAAGGTGGAGTGGAATGGGGAGTGTTAGGGACTGGTACCTTTATGCCTGGGAGTTGAAATTCAACAGTTTGGCTTATAAATTAAATGATCCATAGTTGAGGGATTTGACCAGTTTTTTGTCTCTCAACCGTTCATTTGGCATAGCATACATATGACTAATCTGACATCTAGGTTTTGGCACTGGTGTTGATATAGTATTATCGTTCCCCTTACAAACAAATCAAAGAGCATTCAGAAATGTTAAGCCAATTTGGATAGATCCTTTGGGCAAGTATATGCACATAATTGAGTGTCATGAATGTTTTCTAAGTATACCTAAATGATGTCAGGGAAGTTAACCAAGGCCCTTTGTTAGCTCATTCTCTGGGCATCTCTTTGGCAACACTGGACTGGACAGAGCATGATCCTGACCCAGCATGGAAAATTCTATATTCCCTTAAGTGCCTAGGAGATTTGTACCTGGCTACATTTTTTTCCTCCTCATGAAAGTCCATTTCTCAGTGATGGTGGTAGGAGGTCAGTGTTCTACAGAACTATGGATTTTGTCAACACATGGACTTCAGTCGAAGGTTATATTCTCCTTTTGGTGTGTATCTCAATCTGTGGCTGTTGCAGGGGCAGCATAAGCTGAGTTAATGAAATATGGGTGAAATTTTTGTCTCTGTAACAATATTCTTGTTAATTGTCCATTTTGATAAAAAATATGAGCTCTTATGAACGATGAGATAGATAAATGCAGAAGTTCACTAGTTTTAGAAAAACATGACAAAACTCTACTTGCCTCCCGATTTCAGAAGAACTTCCTGGCCAAAGCTTTGACAACAAAGGCTACTTTTGTGGAGAAGAAACAATGCCCGTGTACGAGTCTGTATTCATGGAGGATGGGGAGACTACCAGAAAAATAGCACTGGAGACTGAGAGACCACCTCAGGTAGAGGTCCACGTTTGGACCATCCGAAAGGGTGAGCAAGACGGCATTCATTTCTTGTCTTTGTAAGCAGGGCACAGAAAAGGAAAGAAAGCCTCATATTAATTTTGCTCCAACCTGTTCCTCTGGGTCAGAAGTTTTCCTGATTGCTTAGAAACTGACACATGTCTTACACTATTGCCAGTAAAGCCTTTCCAATTTACCCATGGCCTGTGCTGAAGATTAAGTATTGATTCTTGGGGTTCCCAAAGTTGTCTTTCTCACACCACCAAAAGCTGGAGAAGTGCCTCTCAACTCTGGCTGCATATCAGAATCATCAGGGAGAGGTTTGTTTGTTTGTTTTTAAAGTCTGGGCCCTACCCCCCCAGAGACTCTGATTAAATTTGATCTGGGGTGGGGCCTGGGTATCCGTGTTTGCTCATAAAGCTCTACAGGTGATTCTAATATGCAGCCAGGATTGCAAACTACCTGACTGCAGCCTGCAACCCACCATTCTTTCCAGCACAAAGCTGAACAACCATGCAAACTCATTCATTCTGGACAAAGCTAAGTCCCTAGAGTTATGCTGTGTATTCTAGGGTAAGACAAATTTAAAACACTATCCCTGCACTCAGGAAGATTACAGTCTCACTGGAGAAACAACTGCAGTCAATTCCTTTTCTGTTCAGTTCCTTTTCTGGTGACTCATAGTGACAACCACCACAAACTGCATTCTGTTCATTGTGATTCTACAACTATTCTAATGATTCTGTAGGTTCAAGCCCAGTGCTGATCTAGTCTGGTCACGTTTTCTAGGAATCCAACTGTAGTAGTGGTAAGATTTCAATTGGAAAAGAATACAATTTTTTTTTGCTACTGGCTCGTATATAAGGCTCAAGTGTTCTCAAACTTTGGTGTACTTCAGCATGATGCAGGGAGCTGGTTTAAAATGCAGCTACCTGGCCCCATCCCAGATATGCACATTCAAGAAGGCCTTGGGTAGGATCTGAACATTTGCATGTTTAACAGCCAGGTGATTCTTATGCAGGTGGCATTTGGACCATACTTTGAGAAATACTGTTCTAGTATTTGTGGGGCTTTTATTCTCTCCCTTTAGTCAATGACCTTTCTCTAAAGAATGTATTTCTCCCCACCCCATAAAAAAAGATGTATATGTGCTTCTTGCCTATGCTTATTTTTGCTCTATACGTAGGAGCGTTGATTTTCCACTTCTAACTCCCTACCTTATCCATAATAGGTCACTGATGACTAGACACTGGTCTGGTGACTTCCACAGCAGTGGGCCCACTCTTTGCCACGTCACAGATGGTTTTCAAGTTTCTAGTGTAACATCTACATAGTCTCTTGTTTACAGTGTCGAATTATCAAGGTCTGTGCTTGGTGGGCAAAGAGAACCCAGGCTTCATCCACTTTGGCCCCTCTAGCCCTCTCGAGGATTATTCAAGTTGGCTGGCAACGTGCTGCTCCTTAACTACAAGGCAGTTTTCACTTGTTTATCTAGTATCATGATAAAAGCTCTTCAGGCAAGGTTGAAACTGTGGAGGTCACTCAATTTTAACTCTCCCCATTTTTAAATAAGGGAATGCTAAAGGAGCTGTATGGAAAATATGACTTTCAGTGAGTTTGGGAACAGGGTTTGCTTCTCTATTTACATAAACAACCTGCTTGCAATCCTACTGCTGGCTCTCATTGCTTAGCCAGGAGGGCAGCCCAGTGGTTTGGCAGGAACATAGCCACCCCAATTTGAGGCAAGGGCAGAATTTCAAATGCTGTCTTTGGCTGCAGAAGCTCCAACCAGCACCCATGCTTTATCCCATGTGGCTTTTCCTAGGAGGCGGGCCCAATGGTCAGCAGCACTGTCTCTCTTATCTCCATCCCCTAGAGAAGTCAGGGGGAGGCCAATGAACCACGGACACAAATAGAATCAATTATAACCCTTGGGCCATCCAAGTTCCTGGTTAAGCACATTACACAGCCCAGTTCCATACTCCTAAGCCCTAGTAATAAGATGATATGCTTAGCCCGAGCAGAAAAAGGGGTTGATGGTTCCAGATAGAGTGCCTGACCACCTGCCCCACCTTTTGGTTGACCCCAGGTATCCTCCAGCACTTCCACATTGAGAAGATCTCCAAGAGGATGTTCGAGGAGCTCCATCATTTCAAGCTGGTGACCAGGACTACCCTGAGTGAGTGGTACCTCTCTTTACTTCTCCCTGGAAAACATCCAGTGTTCAGCATAGTAAAGCAACTAACGTCCCTGTGTAGTCTCAGTGAACATTAGCAATGTTCAGTATCAACATTGGAGAATGTTCTGTCTCCCCACCCCCCGGTGACTTAGCAGTGAATGAGGTGTCTGAATGTGATCTGAAAAGCTTGGACATGATAAATACAAACCCAGATGAGCATAAGCTACCTCAGGTCAAGATTTCATGAATGTCTTTAATGAAACTGCTAAGTCCAGAGTCTCAGGAGGGTTGGAGAAAGCTCACAAGATTCCAGGTCTGTGGCTATTTCACATCTGGAAGGCTATATCTTCTCATGGTGGGGATAAGAGATGGAGCAAAAATGAAGTTATGTCAGCTCCTGTGTCATATCAGAGCTCTTCGACTCTTTGGGTGGTCATGTTTCTTTAAAAGCAATCAGGCACTCAAAAATACTTGCAGCTCTCCCTCTTTCTACACTAGATGGAGCCTAGGGACTAGATACTGCTAGGCACTGTGGGGTGGGGAGCATTTCGAATAGAATAAAAGGCAAACCGTTTCCATCCACAGGGAATTCTAGTGGGCGAGACAGAACATGAAAATGCCTTCAGTATGAATTAGTATAGTTCTGAGGAGTTAAATACCTAAATGCTCAGGGGAATCTGTAAAGAACAATGAGATGAGAGCCAGGTGGGCTTAGTCGGGGAAGGCTTCGGGGAGGAGGTGTGTTTTGAAAGAGAAGGGTGTGACTGGGCAACAGGTCAGGAAATCAGTCCAGGAAAAGGGTGCAGCCTAAGAGAAGTCTCAGACAGGAGCAAACAAGAAATGTGGGTGGGGGTGAGGAATGATCACAGAGGCCACAGAGGGTACACTGAAAGATTAGAAGAGTTGGAGGTCGAAAGTAGTCAGAGAGCCTGGAAGAAGCCAGTAAAAAGTTCAGACGTAAGGCAAATAGTATTGGTAGTTGCTGCAAACTTACAGTGTAGTAATATTAAAATGGAACTTTGGAAAGATGTCTCTGGGCCATCAGATGGACTTACTAAGTACCTATTTTGATAAAGCCATTTTGTGAAGAGCCCAATTTGCCATGCTAAGAAAGAAGTTGGACTTGATCTCTAGGCCAGAGAACTCCAGTGGAGATTTGTAGGCATCCAGATCTGTTGTTTAGAAAGAGGTCCTTGCTGTATGGAGTGAAAGGTGGCCTCTTAGTGAGAGAACTGTTGATAGCATGAATTAGAAGGTGATTATACTATACTAAATCAGTGGGTCAGGGGAGGAGAGGTCACTGTGAGAGACATTTCTGAGGTTAAATCAACAAGATTGGTATCAAAGAGAGAAATTAGTTTGGAATGACTCCAATATTAACAACTTTATAGCCTGGGTAAATGGATACGCCATTCACCAATGAGAAAACTGAAGAATAAGCAGGCATTGGCGAAAAAGAGTTTTACTTGGAATATGTTTAGATTAAGATACTTAAGAACCATCTGAGTTATCCAATAGGCAGCTGGAAAGAGAGTTGTTGAGGCCAACTGCTTGTCTTTGACAGTGATGGAAAATAAGCAAGACAGGCCAGGCTCAGTGGCTCAGCCTGTAATCCCACGCTTTGGGAGGCCGGGTGAGTGGATTGCCTGAGCCCGTGGGTTCGAGACCTGTCTGGGCAACTTGGCGAGACCTCATCTCTACAATAAAAACAAAAACAAATTAGCCAGGCGTAGTAGCATGCGCCTGTAGTCCCAGCAGGTGGAGGCTGCGGTGGCCGGGAGCGGCCACTGCACTCCAGTCTGGGTGACAGAGTGAGACTCCAACTCAAAAAAGAAAAAAGAAAAGAAAAGAAGACAGTATGATAATACAAATGGAAGAGTCAGGAGTCCTTACATGTGAGTAGGGAATGAAGGAGGCAGAGTCTAGGATCCCAGGATCGATTATATGACTTTTAGAATTATAGATTTTGGTTTATACTGTGAGCAAGGCACTGTGCTAGGTTTCTGGGGCCTTGGTAGATGATTTAGATGTGCTTTGTGCCCATAGCAGGATGTGGGGTGTAAAATGGAGTAGATAATGTGTGCCTTATACTGTGTAGCTAAAGGATATGGGTAATGATAATCCTACAGGGTCATCTGGGAACAGAGAAGAACAAGCCCAATTCCTTTATACAAGGTGCCTAGCAGAGCCTGGCACTTCATAGGGCTTTGGCTACAACTGCTTCCTTGCCCAACCCTTCTCCTTTTTCCTTCTACCTTCCCATTGAGTCAGAGAGAATGGAGAAAAGAGAGAAATCCAAGGGAAACGGATCAGAGAAATTGAGGCCAAAGGGAATGAGGGTTAGGTTCTTATGTGGCTAGGGGAAGAAAAAAGGCTCAAAACAGGCTTGGGGTTAAGAGGAATTTGCTTACCTTGGACTCGAAGTTCTTCAGGTTGTAGCAACATGAGTGCAGGAATGAAAGGAAGACTGAAGAGGTATCCAGGGTGGGCAGAAAAAATGGAAGGGCTACGGCTGAGTCTACAAAGAGTGGAAAGGGATTCCACAGGGGATGTGAGAATAGAACACTATAAAAAGTCATGGGGGGGGATCCATGGGGACTAAGGAGCTATAAAAACAGCATGTGGATATAGGGGAAAAAAGCGAAGGTGAGAAGTTTTTGATAAGGGTGTCAGGAATAAAGAAAAGGATGGTAAATAAGTAATAATCAAGTAACTTAAACCAATATTTGGGAGCCCTAAAAGTAGGCAGAGCCCCAGTGATGCAGTAGGTGCTGTTGCCCAAAGTGCCTTTTTTGGCCAAGTAAGCTGCCTCAACAGCTAACAAATAGATAATGGAGCATTTTGCAAATCCTGAATATACTGTAAAACTTCCAAGCATAATACTTTGGTTTTACTGTGGAGGAAGCAATTATGTATTATCCTTGGGATTCTTAAAAATGCTATGTGTTGAAATGAAAACGTTGTGGCCCATTTTCAATTTCTGTCCCCAGAAAAGTGTTTCAGGGGCTATTTTGCTGAAACCACTGGGCATTTGTATTCCAAATCCCCTGGGGGTGTCCATGAGTAAGTGGGTACGAATGGGGTATATTGGTTCTACTCCTAATTTGCTCTGCTCTCTGCTTACACATTTCTGGCTACTTTGTGTTTGCCTTTTAGGCCAGTGGAAGATATTCACCGAAGGAGAAGCTCAGATCAGCCAGATGTGCTCAAGTCGTGTGTGCAGAACAGAGCTTGAAGATTTGGTCAAGGTTTTGTACCTGGAGAGATCTGAAAAGGGCCACTGTTAGGCAAGACAGACAGTATTGGATAGGGTAAAGCAAGAAAACTCAAGCTGCAGCTGGACTGCAGGCTTATTTTGCTTAAGTCAACAATGCCCTAAAACCCCAAACTCAAAAGCAGTCAATTATTCACGCCATGTACAGCATAACTTGCTCCTTTATGTGGAGTGGTGTGTCAGCCCTTGAACATCTCCTCCAAAGAGACTAGAAGAATCTTGAATTATTTGTAGAAGGAGGGAGGGATGGAACACCACAACACTGCTCTAGTTTTTTGGAGAATCACATTTCTTTACAGGTTAAAGACAAACAAAAAACCCCCAGGGTTTTTATCTAGAAAGTTATTCAAATGAAAGAAAGAGAAGGGAATTGCTTAGTAGGAGTTCTGGAGTATAGAATAATTATTTGTATGAAATTATACTCTTTGAATTTTAGAATGTCTTGTGTTCTTTAAAAAAATTAACTCCTCATTTTCACACATACACGCACACACACATACACATGCACACCCACACATGCATTAAAGTAAGCCTTCATTCTGAGACAAAACCAGCATAGACTCTATCCTACTTTCCTTTGTCTGGCTCCCAAGTAGCTCAGAGTTTGTTGGTGCCCAGGAGAATAATAAAGAATTTTGAACAGAAGGCTCTGCACTTAGGTCTTCGATGTGGCTGTTGAAGTCACTGACTGTCGTGGCAGGGTAGAAAATAAGAACACCATTTCGTGGCCTCATTCATTTTGAAGTGGTAAATAACTTTTCCCTAATTATACTACTTTTTCTCCCTGAACTTATGGGGCTTCCAGAAAGAAGTTAGAATTGGATAAAAATTTTGGTAGCTGAATCCATATAAGAATGTTAAAGAAGGAAATTGAAATAAAAAAGGACATATGTTTGCTTAAATGTCAATACAACTCACCAATTAGTACATCAATACTCATTAATTTCTTTGAGGCCATAGCTGTCTAGTCAGAAAATTTAGGTTAAATTATTAAATTCTAGAAGCTCTTTAAAAGGGCAAATTTCCTTTTTCTCCAGTTATAGGAGTTGATTTTGACTTTGCAAAATGGCTTGGTCCTCATGAGCTTCTGTGTGTTAGCTCTTCAGACAAGAGAGTTATTATTCATTTAGGGAGCTGGGAATTCTGATAAAGATCTTTATCCTAAACCTTCCTATCCTTCTTACCTTATCTATCAAGCATGAATTTTAATCAAGGATTCTAGAGAAGCCTGCTCCTAAAATGTCTACTTGCAGTCCAGTACCAGAACATAAATGATCTGTTCTGAGGTCTGGCTTCAGAAATCATCTTTGTGGAAAAACTATAAATTCTTCACAGCAAGGATCTCAAGCCTGCCTACTTCTAGATTTGTTCCTTCTGAGGGGCATGAATGAACTCTAGTGAGTACAGGTATTAAGGACAGAGAAATCCTGTACTTCCTGTTCTTTGACCATAGGTGACCGAACTTTTTTTCCTTAGACTATTTGACATCAAGAGGGAAAAATGTAAACAGTCCAGTCTTAGTGGCAACCCAGCATAAAGTAGTCATTTCTCATAAAAGAGACACAAGGGCCTTGTCACTAGGACTTCATGGGACAAGCTTTTTACCAGCCTATCACACATATTTCCTGAGAAGAAGGAGGTAGACATCCTGGGCTGAAAGGTCACAGAGCACTATTGTGTGTGTGCTGGAGGGCGGGGGTGTTGAGCCACTGTTGCCTCCCTCCCAGAGGTGGCAGTGTTGCCATAGCATGGAGACTGGATTCTGAAGCAAAGCTATGATTCCCCTTCTCGATGATTCACTCCAAAGCCTTCCCACCCAGGTGTTCTCTGAAAGCTCTTCCGTAAGGAAACACCCAGAGAGAGTCCCTAGATAGACTTCTGCTTCCAGGTGCTGGGACACACCTTTCCAAAGTGCTGTGGGAAGCAGGAGCTGGGGAACTATGTGAAACCAACATAGAAACCCTCCAGTGTTTGGTGTTGTGTAGGGAGTAGGACATAGGGAAAAGAGGCCAAGCCACCTGTAGTTAGTAGAGAAGAATGGATGTGGTTCTTCTTGTGTATTTATTTGTATCATAAACACTTGGAACAACAAAGACCATAAGCACCATTTATCAGTTGTAGTCATTTTCTAGTTAACTCATGTAAACAAGTAAGAGTAACATAACAGTATTACCTTTTCACTTTTCTCACAGGACATGTACCTAAATATGGTACTTATTTATGTAGTCACTGTATTTCTGGATTTTTAAATTAATAAAAAAGTTAATTTTGAAAAAGCATCTGCAGTTCAAGTTGCGTAAGTGATTGACTCTCTGGCTAGTACTGATCTTGGATCTTGGACTAGGTAACAGGTGATGGGTGGGCCTGGTGGTTTCATATTCATCTTAACTTTCCTCTCATACTATGGCATAGTAGTTAAGAGTGTGAACTCTGCAATCAGACTACCTGGATTTTTAGACCTAGCTCTGCACTTACCAGCTGTGGTTGTCAGTTTCTCCAACTATAAAATGGGATAATAGTGGCACTATTGTCCTTTGCCTACAGTCTTGCAGTGAGGTTTAATTTAGTCAGTGTATGTAAAGTGATTAGAATAGTGTCTGGTATGTTGTGAGCATTTATTTATGACCATGGATGTTCAAAAATGGCATGGCACTGTAGTCAGTCATTGATTTCTGGCCTCTCTTTAGGTCGAGATACCTAAGAGTTGGGTACAGAAGGCCATTGACTTAGATTTCAAGGAGGCTTCGATTTTGGTCTGCTGCTTACAATTTTTTAATATACACAAAGTGGTGTAGAAATCAAAGTAAGAGTTTTGTCATACATGTTGAGCCAAACTAAATTCTCTCAAACCCCCAATACCAGCTAAATTTGTGTTATCACAGAAGCCAAAATATGAGGGTGCCTCAACAGTGTAGTTACATGTGTCACGTCCTACTGAAATGTCAAATAATATAACAACAGAAAAGTATGCATTGATGTTTGTAATGCAGAAGAAAAGTTTTGGTGGAATGATTGGAACAGAGGCCAGGTTGGAGTGGATTGTAAGAAGTGAGTGGCAAGATGAGGAATTGGAGGCAGCAGCTAAAGACAACTTTCTGGAGAAGCTTGATTGCAGAGTGTGGAAACAGGGTGAAGGAAGTCACTGGAGAAGAACATGGGGTCAAAAGAAAGTCATTTTGCTATAAATATGGGAGCTATTTGGCCATATCTGAATGCTCTTGGGGGAGGGATCCAATAGAAAGGAAAAGATTGGAGATAATAAGGGGAAGGCAATTAATCTGTGTGTGAAGTATGTGAGAAGCCATGCCTCCATGCTGTGCCCCTGGAACTCAAAATGCTTGACCCACAACCTGGATGGAATGTTGGCCTTTGGTTACCAACTCCTTATGTTGAGCTGCACCTAGATCTGCCTTCCCTGTTAGCTTGGTCCCCCTTTATATCTAGCATATTTTCTTCTGAAATGGTGGGCTATAAATGCCAGTGTTGCTCCACCTCCGTGAGGGAACTGCGAATAACTCAAACCAGACACTTGGCCCCATCTTGCACTCTTCTCTTTTTCTGATCAGCAACATTCAGATTTCCCCAGTCCTGTCAACTTGGTCTCCTAGTAGATGATGTTTATAGGCTTTTGCTCTTATCTTCTCTTGTTGGATCTTTCTCTCTCTGCAGTCTTCACCCACCTGCCCCCACCATAGTTCCCAAGAAGCACCAATGATCATCCCATATGTGCTCAAAGAGAAGTCTTACCTGCTACCACTTACTACCCATCCTTTTACTCCTTTCTTTGACCCCTGAAGGGGATCAGAATATGCCACCCCAAAATGGGCCACCTTGGCGTAAGGATTATTTTGAGCTGAAAGCAATTGAAAATCAACAGATGCGGGAAGAGTTCTCTGCCCTCTCCTTATCTGCCTAAAAGCAGGGCATAAATTTCCCTTTGAGGAAGGTGCTCCCCTCTCAATCCCTTACCAGGGAGAGAAGAGTGACTCTAATCATAAAGTTAACACCAAGATGAGTTTGCATAAACAGTCTGCTATGGTTTGGTTATCATTTCTTAGGCCCCACCAAGTCTCATGCTGAAATTTGACCCCCAGTGTTGGAAATGGGGCCTAATGGGAGGTGTGTGGGTCAAGGAAGTGAATTCTTCATGAATGGCTTGGTATCTTCATTGAAATAATGAGTGAGTTCTTGCTCTATTCATTTCGGCAAAAGCTGATTGATTTTTTGTTTTTTTGGTTTTTTGGTTTTTTGAGTTGGAGTCTTACTCTGTCAGTCAGACTGGAGTGCAGTGGCCACTCCCGGCCACTGCAGCCTCGACTTGCTGGACTCTGGCGATCCTTCCGCCTCAGCCTTCCAAGTAGCTGGAACTAGGCGCCTGGCTAATTTTTGATTTATTGCAGAGATGAGGTCTCGCCAAGTTGCCCAGGCTGGTCTCGAACCTGCAGACTCAGGCATTCACTCACCTTGGCCTCCCAAAGCACTGGGATTATAGGCTGAGCCACCAAGCCCGGCAAAAGCTGATTGTTAAAAAAAGATCCTGGACCTTCCCTCTATGCTTCCTCTTTTGACATGTGATCACTGCACAATTAGTTCCTCTTCACCTCTGCCATGTTTGGAAGCAGCCTGACGTCCTCACCACAAGCAGATGGATGCTAGTGCCATGTGTCTTGTACAACCTGCAGAACCATGAGCCAAATAAACTTATTTTCTGTATAAATTACCCAGCCTCAGGTATTCCTTTATAGCAACATAGACTATGGCACAGATCTTATTAAATAGCTCTTATCTTTCATCAATTCTCCCATATATTTATTAGTCATTTTCTCACAATTTATCATCTGTTGAAGACCAAAGCCTCTTTCCTTTGTTAAAAGGGTACATAAAGTCCCCAAGTCTAACCACTTCTTTGAGTTTCACTTTTTTTGTGAGCTACACATATAAATGTTAATAAAATTTATCTTTCTTCCTTGTTAATCTGTCTTTTGTTAGTTTAACTCATAGACCCCTAGATATTGAACATAAGAGGGTAGAGGAAAAGATTTTCCTCCCCAAAACCAACCTCTATGATGGAACAGCTAGAAAAAAAAAAGCTCATCCACTGCCTCATCTCCTGCACATCTCCTGCCAGTCATAACCACCACCAGCTGTGCTGTCCCTGGTCTGGGCTCCTTCTATTGACCTAGACATGCCAGCACAGTGGTGGCACTCTGGAATCTTCCATGTTCCCCAGTGACACTGGATCCTGTTCAGAAGTGGAGAGAATTCACTTTTCCCTTCCCACCTGTAACGTTACACCTTGTCTCTTTACATTAAACTATTTAACAAATTGTTCTTGAGTGTGTTATGTGTGCCACAGCAGGGTCTTCTTGTACCCCAGAGTCTCATAGAGATGTTCATGGAAACAAGTCCCTCAAGCTCTACTTTTAGCCATTTT